ACAGTCAAAGACAGGAATAGCCTGATCTATATTGTGAATATCTGCTCTAAAATCATTGGTGTGAAACAGAGAGACCTCACTGTTTTCTGCAACCAACAAATAGTTTGGAAGGCAGCGAGTATCCTAGCCGCTCTGCAACACGCTGTGGCAGGTGAATTTTCTCTGTTGCCTTCTGGGCGTCGTTATGCACTTCCTGTATGTAAGACGAACCGCTTTTCCAAATCTTTTATCCCTTCTGCGATCAAACTATTAAACTCTAGGTAGGGTTTTTGGAGGTTTTTTAAATGTGCACATAATTGACTGACACTATGTTGTGAATATTGTCTGATTGTGTTATGTACTGTTGCAGTCTAGGAGCGCTGTTGCCCCTGTCTGAAAATTTTAGGAGCGCAACCAGAAAATTTTAGCCTGGGAAAACCCTGACAACTTCCGGCAAATTTAGATTTGCTCTGAAAGTTGGTCTGGCAAAGAGCTCATTCAAGCCCATTTCCAATCCGCCGAAATCGCGGCACCAATCAGAAACGTTGGGGTGCGCTTTACACGATGACGATGGTGAAGCAGATTTTGTAAATTTAAAAAGGGGTGTGACAGTTATAGTTGAACACAGTCATTAGAACTCTATAACCGCCAAAACTATGTTATTAAAATATTTTTTTTACAAACATTTTATATCATAGAGAATGTTTAAATACTAATATCAGCTTACGAGGGAAACGGAGGCGGAGTTAGTGGTGCTTCAGAGACTGCTACTGCTGGAGATGAGTCAGTAGAGGTCAGTGCACCTTTACCGATCAGAGCGCGCGCTGACATGGAGTAAAGCCTTGTTTATACTCGACGCGTCCGCGCGAGCGTGAAGGTTTGCGTGTCTAAATTGCAAAGTTCATTGCAAGTTTTTTGTAATCAGACAGATCTGGTCTCATTGACTTCCATAGTAGGAAAAAAATATACTATGGAAGTCAATGAGACCAGAAACTGTCTGGTTACTGATATTCTTCTAAATATCAGAAAATCGGCTGAATGGATTCAAAAACGGTAAAACCCAACTGTTTAACTCTGGGGGAGTGGTAAAATGAGCCTATTTCCAAAAAAAGTGGAGTATCCCTTTAAGGTTTTGTTTACTGTGTGTGATTTATATAATGGAAAGCACATTCACTTATAGTTGTCTTTCTGTTCATTTTAAATAAACGTAGAGCAAGTAGCTAATCAGGGTCTGCTCGTTTATTCAAACTGAACGTCGCTCTGCACACATCATCGCTTTCAGCGCTCTGATTGGTTTTAGGTCCAGAGACATTTGAGCTACGTCCGTTGGTGATGCCCCTTTGGAAACGATGAAGCTTTGCCAGACCATAACTCAGTTACAAACTGAGAATGGTCTGGTTTTAACCAGGTTAAGAAAATTAAGGGGCACACCTTAAATCAGCTTGCAATGCAATTATTAAAATTCCCCCCAAAATAACTGTTATACTGACAAATTCTTTAATAATAAATAGACTTAACAAACAGATATTATGATATTCAGTTTTATTTTAAGTTCACAGGGCTCCAGACTCAACTTTTAGGGCAGCACAACCTCAAATGAGAACTCACACCGAGTTCTACAAAAAATAAATAAATAAATAAATGGTGGCACTGGGGCTGACAATAAATCCCTAAGCTTAATTTAGGTTGTAGATGAAATTAACTTTAGTTATTATCATTTAGAATGTCTTAATATTAATTAAAAAACAAAAGTAGTGAAAACAGGTATATTAAAGGTGCATTGCGCAACTTTTCATATTAAAAATAGCCGTTTTCTAACCCATACATGCTTAAACAATCGCCTGATGGGCTGAATGAGCCCTTCTTTGATCACTGCGATCGCCTCTATAATCCTGTACAGTGAAATATATAAGAGGGATTCGGGCTCGAATCTGAGACTGGGCGTGACGTCATGCGCGTTCACGCTCGCCTGGCTATGTCTGGCAGGTTCGTGGAGCTATTCGCCGCCGTTCTGCGTATCAGAGATGACAACTCGAGCGACACAACTCTAGTCAGCTTTCCACAAAAGTAGACGATGGATTCAAAGGGGCTGTTTACACCTGGTCACTTCATGTGTTTTCTGTGATCGGATAGCTATTCGATCGTGAAAAGACAAGGGTGTAAATGCCCTCCGAAACGCATTCGAGACGGATTTGAATCCGATCGCTCTTGAGGACGTGATCTGGGCCGCATTCCAGACGAAACTGGACAAGTGTAAATGCATCTGGTTGTTGAAACCAAGCTATAGGTTATGTCATGTTATTTTAGTCATATATGACGATGCGCATCACCTCAGATGAGCAGCTGAGCATGAGCCCCTTCATCAAGTCAGCGCCGCAATCTATCGCAAATCAAAGTGAAAGTAAGTCGCAGACGCTTAACACTACCATCTTCATTAAAAGTAAAGAAATGAAATGATCTTACCAGGCCTGTTGCCGATCTCTCTTATTGCTGTCTTTGAAATTAGCCGATGATTAATAAAATCCAGCTCATATCTGTTGCTTTCGGTGACGTGCACTTCATTTAATCTGTATATGGCGCGGAAAGAGACCGGCTTGTAGCTCATTGCAAACCCCAACGCAAACTCCACGTGAGACAGAAAATAAAACTTCAGTCTGTCCAGTGCCAGGCGTCGGAATAAGACGAGAGTCAGCATCGGGAAGCTTTCAACAAACGGAGAGATCTCCGGTCGGCTCTAGGGCTCAAACACGTCCTATTCAAAGTGATAACTGAACGTGTTTCCATAATAATTCAATCATAAGTGGCTACAGTAAGCACAGGGAGATAGATGGAAACAAAAACCGAAGTTTTCTACTACCCCCGTTTCCCCCTCTCACACACATTAGTGTGTAATTTACTCGAATGACTTTCCTTTCATATATTTTAAATGACTTGCAGAATTATTACTGTATTGCCTCATTATGACTGTAACAAAAGATGTGTGCCGCACAGTGTGCTCCTTAGGTTATGAACAGCTCGTGCAAACGTACATGTGTGTGTGTGTGTGTGTAGTGTGTTCCTCCATGAACGCGCACAGCTCTGGTTGCAGTTTCGCTTGTCGCCAGAGGGGGCGTAGTTCTGCAAAAACCCAGAGACTTGCGTTTAGCTCCTTTAAGGATTGAAAATAAGCAATAAACTTCCTACTGTTTACAATGGTATTTTTTTATTATTATTTTTTTTTTAATTTTTAGATAAGTGTTTAAATAAGAGTTTCCCAACATCTTACAATTTTTCGTTTTAGGACAATCTTTGAAGGATGAACAAAAAATGTGTTGGTCATCACATAAAAATACAAAAAAATAAAACATTTATATATGATATTATAGTTTTGAAGTGTTTGAAAAAGATGTGTAGTAGGCTACTTGCAAGCATTTGACTATTTCTGTCACATTATCATATTTATGGTTAGAGTTAACTCTGTCCTACATTAGCCCAAATCCGTGGCGAATGTTGCTGATTTGTGGACTGAAAGCCTTCTGTAGTGAAGTTTTTTTCTTCCACGCAACAGACCAGGAGACTCTTGAGGTATCTTTCACGCAGACGTTCTTTATTGCGTAGCTGTAGTCATCTCAAAATAAGTCTGATTTAAAAGAACCTTACATTCTAATTTATACATTTCAAAGAGGGAGGGATTACATGAAGCTGGAGACACTGAGACAAAGCAAATGGTAACGCATGTTGGCTAGAGCTCCAGGCAAATGGTCTCAGAAATTAACAGCAGGTGTTCAAACTTCAAACAGGCATTTTCACACGGTGAGTCGAGAAACAGGAAAGGCATAGCTTTCTCGTGCGGTTCAAAGGACAGTCAGGAGTGTCACGCTGGAAAACTCCTACTGTTTTCAAAGATTTAGAGACTTTCTCCATTAAAAACATTAAATTAAACATATTAATAAAATTTGTAATCTCACATATCTATAAGTTTTTCTCCTGGTTTCCACGTCAGCGCTGATTGGTCTGATATCTGTGGTTTATAACAGAACTCTGCGCCGAATCGGCATGTTTCTCACTGGATCTCGTAGTAACAGTGTTGCGTGATCGAGATCGGCCTGCAACTGGCAAGTTCGGGGCACTGCTCCATAAGAACGGCTATGCCCTGCTCTGTCTATTATTGGTCCAAGTACCTAATAAAAACGCCAACGGTCCGTGAAGCCTTTATGAGTAGCGTATTTTCATTCAACTTTCATTTTGTTTGTTTTCGCTGCTCGGTAACGAGTCGATAGATCGCACATGGCAGGTTGTGATATTTGTCTCCGATCTCCTTCCCACATACGCGCGCTATTCTTGTCACGGATTTATTGACTCGCCCCTTCCATGCTTTACCATGCGTTTAACGTGTGGCAAATTTACTGGTCGCACATGTGAGACTGGATGTAAAATTCAGTCGCACACTCTCAAATTTTGGTCGCAAAATGCGAGCATTTGGTCGCAGTCTGGAGCCCTGGAAGTGTTTCTTAATGTCAAGGAAGGATCCTCACATGCCAGAATTTCAATGATGCTATACCTCGCACACTTTCGAGCGCGCTCTTAGACACTCGGTCTCTCTCGTTCACTGTCGCTTGTGCTCTCGCTCACTGGAGCTCATGGAGGCACGTGATCAGACAGTTTTATGGAGAGCTAGATTGGCTTTGCAAAAAAAAAAAAACCCTTTGAAATACAGAGCGTTCTGTGAATGGAATGACGCATTTTAAATATCACTCGATCACGCGAGTTTGATCGTGGGAAGCCAAGATTGTGATTTTGATTAAAATTCGATTAATCGTGCAGCCCTAATGCAGTGTTTCTACGGCTGTGCAACTGTATTTACACCTGGAGAGTGTCTTCTGCTACCTAGATCTAAACTGATCAATAACACAAGCTTTACACAGGAGCACAATGATCATCATTAATAGACTGAAAATTTGAACTTAAAGTTGTTTTGTTCAAATGCAGATCATAAAAATAAAATACTATTAGCATCACTTTTATATAAATGATATACCTGAGATTAGGCCGTGTGTCTCCACTGTTAAACTTTAGTGGTTCATTCATAGACCAGTCACTCTTCACAGACACACAGCTGGACTCTGGGTTTGAGCTCTTCTGCTGGACTGAACTGGAACAGAGAACAGATTCAGTTTAATCCTCTACATTACTGTGTTTCTGTAAGGTTATTTGATCTTTGTGTGTGTGTGTGTGTTTGTGTGTGTGTGTGTGTGTGTGGGGGGGGGGTTTGGTTCTAATCTTTTTTCTGAGATGTGAGACAATATTTAACAGTGTTAGTTGAAAGTACCTGTGTCCTGGAGAGAAATCTCCATCTCTGGATGCTTGTGAATCAGCCATGATGAAGAAACTGATGAGTTTGATCTCCTCCACTGACTCTGATGAAGAAACATTCACACACAATATTCAATTATTAAATAACCTTCATAATTTTGCTGATCATATCTGAAGTGTGTGAGAAAAAGGATCATGTGACTGTGTTAACTGAAGCCAGGCCCGGCTCCCACCCAATCAGAAGCTTGGCCCACCCTGGCCCCACACCAGGACTTTATGAAGCCAGAACATGTGTTGTGGATAATAAGAATATTAACACTCTTTTAAAGGTTTCCAATGATGACAGTACATCAGTTGACTTTTCAAAACCTTGCTACTCTCTCAGCTGAAGCGACGCCATTATTTTAAAATTGTCAAATTTCTGATTCATCTTCTGGCCATTTTAAAAGCAGCAAACGCCATCCTACAGTCTCAGCATGTTGATTTGAGCAGTGCAGCTGAAGTTGTGCAGGGATGTCTTGGTTCACTGTAAATCTCAGAGTAAATGACAGTGGATTTCAGCAGTCCGGCACTGACATGTCTACTGTTGAGCTCTCACAAAACCCTGGAAGGACTGTGAACCCCTCCTATGGGGACTCTGGCATTGCTTCAGCTTTAGGGCAAGAAGGGTCCGCTTCTGAATCTGCCACTGAAGCTCTGAGACGACACATGTTGAACACACTAGATACAGCTGTATCAGAGATAGAAAACAGGTTTACACAGCTGATGCAATCCTCTCAGGTGTAATGCCAAAACCCAACACATTTCTGGACATCCAGTTGCTTGAGGCTCTCTGTAGTCTTGCAGGGGTTGCAGAAAATGAACCGAATGAAATTCTTGTTTCCACACCAATGCTGTCCAAAAAACCTCCATCGGATGCTGAATGTCCTGCTGTTTGCAAACTCTTGCAGGAATATAAAGATGCATTTGCAGGTCTTCAGTTGTGTGTATCTGCTGTGGTCACGAGTGTCTCGACTGCTTCATGGAGAGCTCATTCTCTACTCTGGCAAGAACGTGGACACCGTTTCTCCGAACAATGATTCATCAGAGGAAAAAACTTGTGCTTTTAGCTCATGAAGAAGCAATAACACACGAACCGGACATGGATGAGTTCGTAACAGAGTTCTCTAAAACGAGTTGAAAGCTAGTGCAGTAAATATTATAGTGATAGAAGTAGTCATTTAACCCTCAGGTGCTCTTCGTTTCGGAGTCACACTTGTTATCTTCCCGGTCAAAAGTGACCGGACACCTAAAAATGAAACTTTCTCCATCCCAGTAAAACCAATGCAATTTATTTTTGTTCTATAATATTTATTCTTTTTAATTTAGTATTTTGAGACATTTTAAATGAATTTATTAATATTTATGCAACATTTATGGTTTATTTTTGCCATAGAAACATATATATTATTTTCTGTATATATATTATTTTCTTCAAAAAAATATTAATGCAGTATTTTAGTTTAATATAGAGTCTAGGCCTTCAGAAAAAAAATATTTTTTGAAGAAAATTAGCACCATCTGGTTACAGTATCCACAAGTTTCCGAGGGGCGCTCATGTAAAAAATAAAGTGGGTGAAACTTCCGGTGAGGCGGTGGAAGTAGCATTCCAATGGTATTTTGTGTGTTAGTTAGCGAAGATGCTAGCTGTTTTTCGGAGAATTATGTTACTATTTAAAGACGCAAATCTTTATGAGAGATGGTGTTACGGAGTTCATGGACAACATGTGCTGTTCGCGGTTGTATGTACATAACCGGACTAAACTAATTCAGTGGCTTAAACATGATTGTTTTGAACCTAAGCTGAAAACGAAATCACAGTGATCGTACCAACGACTGTAGTTTCCATCACCTCCCAAAAGAAAACGAATCTTCCTGTGTACATTTGTTTAAAATCTTAATATTCTATAAACTCTATCAGCATGTGTTTGGCTGTTCGCTACTGATGTTACACCTAAACTCAGGATCAAAGCCTGTGTTGACAGAATACCAAATGTGCCAGTTAATGTATTCAAGTAGCACATTCATTTATAATTTTGAATAAACTCCAAAGCACAATGACTAAGTGTGTATTTTTTATTTTAATTGTTTGTCAGCTCGCACAACTGTCTGTCTCCATGCCTTGATGAGTATTGATTATTAATAATGTTATTATAATACTCCCAATCAACTACTGCGGAGGGTAAAGGTACTGTTATTTCACCCTTTTGAATTTCGTTGAGGTTGTGTTCCCACATCGTTAGCTAGTTTGGATCGCTATAACTTGAATGACCGTCAACTGTTGAATGAACGAGTGTCAAGCATGTCAAGTAGCGCTTTGTTTACTTCAAACCGGAAGTCGCGCCCACTTTTGACGCAAGGCCTCATGGGGCGTAGGAAACTTGTGGATAGAGAAAAAGCGTAGAATCATGGTGTAACCACTTGATGGCATGTACAGCTCTCTATTGAGAGGCATGTGAATTCCCCAGCTGTTTATGAACACATTTTTGTTGTTGTTGTTGGTGGATTTGTATATATAGTTGAAACAATGTCAAAAACTATTTCTTATAAAAAAAAAAGACAAACAAATTTTTTTTTCTTTTTTTTTTACAATTTCCCATTCATTTCCTATGGGGTCATTTTGGACCAAAGACCACGAGTGTGACTATTTTTTTAAGACCACTTAGCATGCTCAGATCATGACCATTTTTTTGTGTGTTCACATACATAATGCCATAAAAGTCACCAAGTTTCGTAACATCGCGATGAAGCTGTGATTTTTAAAAATTCAAAACATACTTTTTGTAATCAAAATGTATTGGTGTGTATGTGTATAAAAGTGTGTTTGTATGTGTGTGTGTGTTGGTGGGTGTGTCTGTTTTGCACTCTAGATGTTGTAGAGTGTCACCCCTTTCCAGCGGTGTACTTTTTTTTTTTTAATTGTGGCCGATTTGTAGATTGTACATACAAAAATTCAGAGAATTTTTTTTTGTATCAATTTCCCATTCATTTCCTATGGGTTGTCATTTTTGACAGAAGAGCAAAGGTGTGACTCATTTTTTTACGACCACTTAAATTGCTCGAATCATGACCTCAATTTTTTTGTGTTCACATACCCAATGCCATAAAAGTCACCAAGTTTCGTAATTTTCTGAAGAAGCTGTGATTTTTAAATATTAAAAACAGATTTCTTTAATCACAATTTATTGGTGTTTTTGTGTATAAAAGTGTGTGTGTATGTGTGTGCGTAGGGGTGGGTATGTCTGTTTTGCACTCTTGATGTTTTACAGTGTCACCCCTTCAATGCTGAGCACTTTTTTTCTGCATCGTGGCCGATTTGTAGATTGTACACACAAAAATTCTCAAAGTTTTTGTGTTTTTGTCAATTTCCCATTCATTTCCTATGGTCGGTCATTTTTGACAGAAGAGCACAAGTGTGACTATTTTTTTTACGACCACTTAGCATGCTCGGATCATGACCTCAATTTTTTTTGTGTGTTCACATACCCAATGGAATAAAAGTCACCAAGTTTCGTAACATTCCGATGAAGCTGTGATTTTTAACATTTCAAAACATAAATTTTTTCGGTCAGAAATGACCGAAGAGCACCTGAGAGTTAAGTTTTCAAGACCCGCTCTGTTTTTAGGGATGCAACGACACCGCTTTTCAAAACCGATCCGATACCAAAATTCTGCGTATCGGCCGATACCGATACCAATCCGATACCAGCGCAGTTTTTTAATCAACTAGAATTTCTATAACTCTGTGTGTTGAACTGATAATCACTCTTTTGTGTGTTAAACACTACATTATAAAGAAAAACAACAAATGAAAAAAATTATGATCATAATCTAGGACAAAAATGCTATTTTAAAGTAGATTAATAACTAATATTAACACTTTTACACTCAAAGCTCTGTGGATTCAGCGATCTCACCAGAAGAAAATGGCATCGCTGAGATTCGCGACAGCAATTATAGGACTCTTTCTGTTTCCATTGGCGCACAACGAAAGCACTCATTCTGGCCGGGCTCAGGTCTCGCTCCGGCCGCCTCTTCTTCTTGATGAAAGAGTTCGAACAGGAGAGTCACGAATGCACATCACAGAACAGAGCAAGGCGAGCAGTTGTGCTTATAAACAACACATTCTCACCCCAAGGCGTCACCTTTGACCATGCTTCAATATTTGACGTTTTAGGCGCCCTTTAGCGTCACTTACATGACGCCATCCTACGGCGTCATCTAACTGACGCTAAAAGAAAGCATCAGTTAGAGGACGCGGTTAGGTTTAGGTATGGGGTGGGGGTAGGGTACACGCGACCCTAGGGCGTCATCTTACTGATGCTAAAGGGCGCCTAAAGCGTCAGATATTGAAGCATGGTCAAATGCTTCACCTAACTGACGCCTTGGGAGTGAGAATGGGCTGTTATAAAACTCAAACTTTGTTATATTTGAAATGAGCGATCGTTTCGCTTGATAAGACCCTTTTTCATCGTCTGGAATCGTTTAAAGCCTTTGAACAGTTTGTACTGAAACTTTCTTTTGGACCTTGAACCGTTTGGTTACCAATAAAGTCCATTATATGGAGAAAGTGCATATGGAGAAAAATCCTGGAATGTTTTCATCAAAAAATGATTCATTTCTTTTTTTTCTTCTCGACTGAAGAAAGAAAGAAGAAAGAAAGACATGGACATCATGGATGACATGGAGGTGAGTAAATTATCAGCAAAAGCTTTTTTCAAAAGTGAACTCCTTTAATTCAAGATCTGTTCAGGGGTAATTATATATATATATATATATAAATATATATAAATATATATATATATATATATATATATATAAATAACTGAACGGTCTTCATCATTTCTGATTGTTTAATGAGTTTAACTGACTCTAAATATGAATTCATTGGGAAATGTACACTGTGCTGGAAAATTGAACTCGATTTGTTGTATTCTCTATTACAGTATCATATTTCAATCATATTTACCCAATCTTTAGTAATTGTTGAATCATTTGTCATTTACTTCAAGGTCACAATGATGGTTGATTTCATTACTTTCGAATGATACTGAAATAACTGACT